ACATGTTGCCAGGAGGGACGGGTCCTTGGAGAGGGACATCATGCTTGGGAGGGTGGAGGGACAGCGCAGGAGGGGAAGACCCTCTATGAGATGGACTGATTCAGTGACTGGGGTAATCGGGATGGGTGTGTCAGAGGCGGTGTGATTGGCGCAGGATAAAGCAGGGTTTAGGGCTGTTGTGCATAGGGTCTCTATGAGTCGGAAAGGACATAACAACAACAACAAATCCTTGATGATCTTCCAGTTCTAGAGCTAATGACCACTTGTTTCAACTGCCTTTAGTTCATGTGTTTATTCTTCAGAGAGAGATGTAACAGAAGTGTAACAAAGCCAATTTGTTAAGAAGGAAGTATAACAAAGCCAATTTGTTAAGACATTAGTGAATAATGCTAACATGCTGAACAATTAATTCCCTTACCTTGGTCCACACACTGATTTCTGACATCTTCTATGCTTTCTACTTTAATTGCTTCCTGAAGAAAAAGGTAACAACTATCTTGAAACTGAACCCAGGTGGAAGAAGGACAGTCTATATGGAAAAAGAGAAGCAAAGTTAAATAATTTGAAATTAACAATTGTACCTCAAAAAAACTCAACAGCAAGTAGATTCAGATGTATCCATGACGGTTCTGAGGGTGTAAATCTCAACAGAAGGAGAGGGCCTATTTTTCTTCCTTACAGATACTGGATATTAAATTTACACAGAGAAAAAGGGTTAAACAATATCCATTGGCAACTTAGAAAAAAGATTTTTTTAAAAAAAGAAAAGAAAAAAGAGGATTTTGGTCTTTTAAATTTTTTTCCAATTTCTCCTGGCAATTTAGAAATAATTAGACTGATAAGTATAAGGTAAATTTGGGGTTTCCCCCAAACATACTTGTAAAAAGAAAAACTAATGATTCTCTTTTGACTTGATAGCAAAGTTACAATGACAGCAAAGTTACAATTATTTAGGTGGTTGAAAAACTGAAACAATGGAAATTACATGGCAACAATTATTTTTGAAAACAATCTATCAGGATTACAGGGTTTTCTTTGTAGGTTCTCTTCAGCCCATACCACTGTGGGAGTCTTAAGAGTTTTACATGACCCCTTGTTCAAATGATACTAATTAAAGATTTATATCAACAGAGGATAAGTTGCTAGATTATGAATATCTACACACTGCTGCACAAAAAAAAGAGATTGATTTTTGTCATCAGTATTTTTAGTTGGACATATTATCAAAGTTGATTCTTTGAGCTAGTTTTACGAACCAGAATCCTACTTCCTCTTCTTTTGTTCTAAGAGCGCACTTTTTTTGGTGTATCAATAGTAAATTGATCTGCTAACCCAAAGGCTGCAAGTCTCTAGTTCAAATCCAACAGCAACTCAGAGAAGATCTTACTGTGATCCACAGTGTCAGAAACCTGATGAAAGGTCACTCTGAATCATAACTAACTCAATGGTAGTGATGTTTGATGTAAGGTAATGGAATATTTCCTCATCTCAGTCTGTTTTACACAAAAACATGCATTTTTAAGACCAGCTTAACTCACTGCTTTCAGCAGAACCAACTCTTAGCTGACTCAGAGAGGCTACCCCTTTAAGTTAGCAGTGCAACTCTCTAAAGACCAAGCCACCAGAGCTCTCAGGCACCAAAATGTCATTCATTAGCATTTTAAACTAATTGCCTGCAAGCAATGAAAAAGATCTGATATGCATCTTATGTGGCAGTAAATTTATAACAATGGGAGAAGAACTCAGAAAAGGACGGTGAGAATGGTTGCACAACTCATGGAATACAATTAATATCTGAATTGCTGGTAGATTAAAACTTCCTTTGGGATAGGAGCACAGCTCTGTACAGATTACACCACAGAGCTCCTTTTTTGTGTTGTTGTTGTTGTTAGGTACCCTGAAGTCAACTGCAACTCATAGTAGCCCTATGAACAACAGCTCTGAACCTTGCTACTTAAAAATGTCCTCTTAGAACAAAAGAAAAGTATGATTCTGTTTGATAAAACTAGTTCAAAGAGCCCACCTTGATTATGTGGTAAGAACATTCATTAAAAATATCAATATTTGGTATACAATCCCCCGGCACCCTTCCCACGGCCCCAGGTACACTCCACTATGCACCCTTAATTCTGAACTCTTGTGATAACTATAATACCCTATCATATATGGCTGCGGGGGGGATTATATACCAAAGAAAGAATTTTTCAAAAAGAGGAGCAAACGGGGGGGTGGGGCAGGGAGGGGGAGAGGTCTGGGCAGGGAGAAAAGTGCAACAATAAATGAATGGAAATCCAAAATCTCTGTAAATGTTCATTAAAATTGTTGTTGTTATGTGCCATCGAGT